ATAAAATAGGCTGGGCATATTTATCGTCTATATTTGACGGAACGGGGTGCACGATAGACTTACCTCCACGTGGTACACCCTGGGCAACGTATACTTATGCGGCAAAAAAGTCTATTAATCGGCAGTTGACTTCTGACTTCAAACTATCAAGACTTCACCGCATTTCATATTCGACTCCTTCCACAGCACTCATCTTTTCCTACCTTTGTGTCTGTCTGTCTCTTTTACGTCTGTGAATCATTATTCTGTCCCCCCTCTCGAATTTTTCCCACTTTGGTGTTCCTTTTCCTTTCTGTGAAGCAAGAAGTCAACTAAAGGGCTAATGATACCTATCGTAACGCCTGCCATTTGAAATAAATAAATAAATATTCGACGGAACAACATTGAATATGCGAAGATTCGAACTTTTAATGAGGACATTCGTGTTTAAAAGATAACGAAAGCCATTGGGGGGGATTCAAATTCACTCCTAGGAAGCTCCACAAATGTGCCCATCTATCTAAGATGACCGCCAGAAAACGCCTTACTAAATGGTCATGCAAGGTAATATGCACAAACCCGTTTGAGCATGAGTTGGGCGGTGAACACACGATATGCTTTATGTTATTAATTGTAATTAAACATAATGGGGAAATATTCACTATCAGATTAAATATAGACAGAAAATTCAGAGTTAACTACCATTAAGAGAAAATTTTAAGAATTTGTAACTTAAATAATTTAAAACCAAATTATACCATCCAGTTAGAGAGGTTGATAGCTAACTTTAATATCCAATCCATTTGAATAAAGGTATGTATTTATGATTGACATTCAACTTCTAGTTAGAGATTTCAATGCAACACTTGCTTAGTGTGGAGATGGAAGTGAATTATGGTAATTTTAGTCTTCTAGGCCAAGATTTCTGCATTTCATTGAATACTTCAGACCACAGGGAATTTTCAAAGCGTTGAAGGTAAGTGTATGGAAAGTGCAATAGATGATTGCCGAGAGGAACATTTTGCATTCATCAAACTGCCTTAATCTCACTCACTCCAGATTTGTCCGATTGCACAAAAAAACAGATGACACTTGAATTGGAACAGATTAAAGAATTGGGCAATGGCTTAGGCGAATTTCTCAATTTCTGTTTAACCCCCAAAATAATTAGATAAAAACGGCCTGAACGAAGTTAAGTTGACAGTCCTTGCTAGTTTTCACCTAAAGGAATTGCAAAATGTTAGATACCAAACAACTTGTAAATTACATTCAATCTGTGTTTACATGGTTGCCAATATCAATCGCACTTTATTTCAAAATTTTCTAAACTACTCAACAACCTGTTTTAGGACTAAGATCAGATGGATCTTAAGCACAAATTCACAGCTCAAACTCCAGAGAAATATTGCATTTTCAGGCTAAAACTCGGCAAATTGCACACCTTAACCTATTTCGTATAGGTCTTATTGACAGCTAAAAGCGGTAATACCAGTGAAATATTTTTATCATTATTATAGGTGCAAGAAAGATAATCAGACAGATTTTAGGGAAGAGAAGAGTGCGTGGCTGACTTCACTGGTGCTCAAAAATTAAGTCAGTTACGATGGCTTTCTTGCGCGTCAGAGTTCAAAGGGAAAGAGCGGTGGTACTGCTACAATTTTAATTAAATTTGCACGGAATTTGAGCCAACCGCCATTTCATTTAAATATATGAAGACTTTTTAAATTAACTGAGAACTAAATCTACCTGTTATAATAAATTATAGAACTATATGAAATAATGCCCCATTTCAAACAATAGCTTGGTTATAAATTGAATGGAATCGAGTCTGTTTTAACTTATGAGCAATGAATAAAAAGGGAAATAATTTAAGAAGAGAAAAATTTTTGAAATTGTGCAATCAAAAGCTCTTTATGTATAAGCACGGGAGTTACATTTGCGATATTTCTACAACATGATTCAAATTGTGCTACTTTCGAGCAGACATCCAACTCAATTACTTCGTAATTTGTTCCAAAATGCATTCACCTAATTTCTTATTGGACAGGTATAATATTTGGCGGTTTGAAGAGGAAATCAGACATTACTAGCACATTTACTTACCGTAGAAATTATACAAACAAAAATAAATTAGTTCCAATCAGAACAAAATTTCACAAACTTTGGTAGCAAATTACTCCAATTATTTAGTCTTCGAAAGAAAATAGTAAGGCCCAGTGGAAATACGAAAAGTTCATCCATGAATATCGACGATAGAAAAAAAACGAAGTTGTTCGCTGCAGAACTGTTTCAAATTCAAATGATATTACGTATATATATATATATATATATATATATATATATTAATTTACTATTAATAATAAGTGCAACATGTAATACTTTTAAATTTACAGAAAAGTAAAGATGCTAAATATGTCTTACAAAATGATTAATTATTAATTAATTATGATTAGATTAATTTTTGGCCAATGAATATGATTCGAATAGCATATTTAACAGCGAGTGTCATCTAGTGCCATGAATAGGTAAATATTATTAAAAATAACATCTTATGTGCATTCTATAGGAACTTCGCAAATAAAGGGACACTTTGTTCCAAAAATAAATTCAACATTCTGTAAACAGAACAACAGTAAATTATCTCGTAAAATTACATTAATACGTCAATTGTATCTGAACATATTTTCAAATTAAAAAATCCTCCTTTTATTTTTAAATTTTAGCAATAAATTTCATTCATGAAAATGTAATCAAATTACCTTTACGGATATTGCTCGTCGATAGTTCATTCTCTGTACTGATTTCAGGAGGAAACTGCTTAGACCAATCAATTTGATCACCCTGTTGTCGAAATGAGGCAAACCAAGCGGCAATATGCTCCTGATCGAAAGTACCTGTTGAAGGTGGAAGCAAGGGAGGCAACTGCGAAGGAGCCTGTGGAGAATTGGGGCATTGGGATGTGGGAGGCCCACCAGGAGTGTCAGAAATATTTGTCTGTGGTGGAGTAGAAGAGGTACTTGAAGGAATAGTCTGAGTTAAGGCCATGGCCTCTGGAGTCCTTTTATCATCTAGTGTAATAAGGCCCAAATCAGAGCGGATATGATTGACCTCAGTAAGCAACATGCTGTAATCACTGGACAATTTACGAGCCAACTTTAGAGTTTTGATTTTATCAATTCGAGCTTCAAAAATTGTTTGTTCGACCTGTTAACGTAAAAGAAAAAGGAAGTTAAAAATGTGAATATATAAAATCAAACAAATTAAACACTCACGGCCTCGATATCCTTTTCAATCAATCTAAGCTGTTCCAGGTGATATAATCTTTCTTGCTGCAACATTTCTAACTCCGATTCATATTCACTAATATGAAGAGATTCTTTAGTATAAAACCCAACTGCATCGGCTAGTTTATTTGACACATCTGACAATTGTCTAGACTTCTCCCTGAACAAATCAGTATAAAAATGAGATAAAAGCTACCTTGTTTTTTTAATTGCTTCCAATTTTGAAAAATTATTTTCGGTATCGGACATTGTATTCAGAAATTATTAGGAAATCCAAAACACACACTATCTTAGGTCTGCTTTTGACTAATTGTGTGGAAGAGTAAAACAAGACAGTGTTTAAAAGGTCAAATCGCTTTTGATAGAATATATTAATAGAAAAATTTCTCAAAAGATATTATTTTGTAGATTGTCTTTTGGTTTAACAACATAACGAAAATTTGAATTTCTTCGTTGAGACCATTTAGATGGGCAGCGCAATAAATCGAATTGTTTAGGATTTTAAAAACTTAACATACTTAAAATTATTAATAGCTTTTAATGCATCCTAAATTCCACTTTAAAAAATTGCATATCATCTCATTAGAGATCTGTGGCAGTACAAATAATCAAAAAATAAAGGCATTCACTCAATATCCTATTCTTCCATTTTGTAAACCTATCGAAAAATAACAATGCGGGTCACGATAAAAGTTTTAAAAAAGTAACTAACTTCCAATTCTTGTTTTTGAATAGACGTGGGTAAATAAAACTGTCCACTTCACTAGAAATAAATAAATTTAACTTGACTGTGATAGAAGAGACAAACTATCATACATTTGAAGAATAAGTCTTTAGGCATTTCTTGCTAATTTGGCAAGCAGGTAAAAGTTAAGTTAACATCTAACAAATACGTAAGGATAAACATTGGTTGGTCATAGAGGATCTGAGTGATAATTATCAAGCTAGAAAGAAGGCTTAATTGTACTTTCTGCAGCTTCGGTGCATTCAGATATAAGGATTAATAGTAATTTTGAAAGTCTTTTTAACTTTGTTCCTAATGAAAGGATTTAAGTGAATCTTACACATATATATCTCTTTTTCAAAATGTGCGAAATAGTGAACAGAACTTTAAAAGGAATAAGGTCTTAGATATTTATTTCCTATTTAACAAAATTACAGAATATCAAGGTTATTTTGATTAATTTTTAATCAGTATTTTCTATATCTCTTATTTTTGTCATTCGTATAACGTTAGCGTCCTTTAAATAAATCGGTCTCAGCTGATAATCAGTCTGATGGTCTTCTGTGGCGTCAGACTTTTCCCTTTTTGTTTCTTGATACCAATTGTAGACACTAAATTCCCATTAAATTAAGTCAGAAAATAAATCTTGGTTCTTCCTATTTATGCTTAAAATACATATTTTATTAACTTTAAAATTGGTTTATATCCATAGTTTGGTTCACTATTAATGTCGAAGTAGATTTCTATTTTCTGCATATATTTCTCATGCATAAGTTATTTATTTTTCGCTTTTAGCACAAGATGGAAATACGTCCATTTATTAATTGGATGCAACGTTTTACTATTTATGAAACATCCGAATGCATTTTTATCGTCGGATCTGATGCAACGGAAAAATTGTTCCGTATCATGTCAATTTCGCACAACCCCGATGATGGTTATAATGAACCCACATTTTCTGATGAGACCGATTACGATATCACTTGGCGACTGAAAATCAGTACTGATTCTCGAATTTATTCGGAAACGGAACTTACTCTTTTTCTCCAGTCAATCAAATCTGGAAGTCCTGTAAGTTTTACGTTTTATTAACTTATTTGTCTCTTACGTATAGGTGAATAGAGATCCGTCTTGTGGTACAGATGAATCCGATCCAAGTTTGTTAATTGCCAATAGTCCATCTCAAGTCTCGGTTGGCACTCATCGAACGCTCAATAAATCATTAAATGGTGTTGCCCTACTCGGTTTTATTCGCTTTTTGTTTGGCTATTATCTCATTGTGGTTACTCAAAGTAGAGAAGTTGCGCGGATCGGTGAACACAGAATCTACAAGGTGCGTTAAATCTCATTAATTTTTAACTCTTCATTTGTAAATAACTTTGTTAATTTCAGATTGAAGACACAAAGATGCTCTATATACCTCGTGATGCCCCAGTTTCTTCCACGACTAATGATGAAAGTGGAAATGACAGGAGTATGCAATCGGATGAGTCGAAATACTTAAAAATGTTTCAGGGGGTGGAATTGAATCGCGACTTCTATTTTAGCTATACTTATGATCTTTCCAAAAGTCTACAATCTAATATGGAACCAGTAAGTCTTGAAGGCAATACTTTTCGATTGTAAAAAAGTTATAATTTAGTTGCGCTGTAAGATGTGCCTACTGGGCAATGCTTGTATTTAGTCATTTTGCGTTTTATTAGCATTTTGGGCATTTTGTTGCTAGTATCCCGATGACTTAACAGAGAATTTGCTTGTCTTTAATTCAGAGGGGACGGGTTCGTTTCTCATTAGCTTATATTCAGCTAATTAAGGTATGTTATCTCTAATGGTGGCTGCTCCAGTCATCAAACTGAGACGCGCAAGATAACATTATTTAAGTCGGTTGTGGGTGCAAAAGGCGAATCCTTTCATTTCGTTCTATGTTTACTAACTGGATAAAATAGTAATGGAAGTTATTAAAGTGCATAATTAAGCCGTCTTTATAAATATATACTCCATTTGTAAGATAACGAGGTTTAATCTGACAAGATTAGACTAGGGGGTTCAACATTGGCTGGCTAAATTTAGTCTGACCAATTGAGTTTGTTTTTTATTTCAATTGGTCAGAGTAGATTTAACCCTTTAACGCCCTTGGGACCTCATGGTCCTCTTTCAAAATAATGCTCGATTGGTACAAGATTCGTAACAGAAGGCCCTATTGCCATTTGAGAAACATGTTCAATACTTCTATGGCCCTCCCTTAATACCACTAAAATTCACTAAACTCATCACGTCAGTCTGTTGTGAGTCACGCTTGAGTGCGACTTTCAAAAAAATAATTCTAGCGTTAATGGGTTAATCGATCGTTGTTTTAGTGGTCAGAAAACGTAGTGATTGATGATAGATGGTAGCTAATCAAACCCTGTCGCGGTTATTATGCGAAATCAATATTACAGTTCCTATATGCACCACGTAATTGTTCCGCCTTCTTATCAGAAGCAGTAATTAAAGGAGCATTTCTTGCTTGATTGTTAATACTGTACAGAATCTGAGCTAGTCTCATCAACTACAGAATATTAGCCAGATATTATCACTACACTAGGCTTTTTTTCTTTTCCAAATATGTTATACTCGTCATTTGTTAGCATATAGAGCCTTGGAAGGAAGCAAGTTTCTCGCCAAATGTTGTCATTTCTTTCTTCGCAGTGAGTGGTGAAAACAAACCTTCCTTCTAACAGACTTAAAAAGAGGCCTTTATACGGATACTTTTAATCAATATTCTATGGTGAAGTTCAGAAAATCTAATTCTAACATTCAATATAATGGTTGTTTCTCCTTATTATTTTTGTAGTTAGGCCTAATGGGTACTCCACTCGGACCATTCGACAAACCCATGGCATTTCGCTCAATTCCTGATCCACGATTCCTCTGGAACTACCCTCTTATTCCCCCCAAGTTCCATCCTACCTCGGAGGGCATTTCAAATTGGTTTGTCGGATTGATGCATGGATTTGTCCGGCAAGCTTCGATCGTGTCCTGTGGAATGTCTGTGTCGATTATCCTCCTAGCCCGTCGATCTCGATTCTTCGCTGGGACAAGATTTCTTAAACGCGGAGTTAATATTGATGGCAACGTTGCAAATGAAGTATGCCCTTATCTCAGAACACGTTTCTAACCTTCTATTCTCTTCCCACTTTCTTACCTCAGAAAGGCGGTGTAGGCTTTTTTTAGGATTAAAAGTCCACAAATTTCCGTAGGTGCTCTTGGAAAATTGTATAAAAAGCTATCGCCTGTGATATTGCAATCAATTAGTATTGGCAATTATTGTCATGCTAATGCGTATTAAAGGCGCATATCCATTGCAGAATGAAATCTCAGGTTTGCAAACTTAATTATTCTGAGACGGGTTGCTGCTCTTAAAACTAGTGTGCTGAAATTGTGACGGACAAACTGAAATGCACAGATATTGACAATCCCCAGCAAATCAATAAACTTCCTACGAGTCTGGCAGTGCACCACACGCAGAATGAAAATGAGGAGGTAGAAACTGGCAGTAAATAGCGTCAAAGAGAATTTAACATAAGCCCCCTTTCGCTAAGAGCCGAATGGCGCAGTAATTGCTTACTTTCTAATCCTTCAGGTTGAAACAGAACAGATAGTCTGTGATATCGCCCAACCGACACTTTCGCAAATGAGGGTTTCTTCAGTGGTTCAGCATCGTGGATCTGTGCCGCTCTTTTGGTCTCAGGATACTGCCAAATTGATGGTCGGCAAACCGCCTCTTACAATTACCGTATGTTGAATACTTCTTTACTTGGGTTTTACGTTATTTTTCATCCGGTTTTGACCTTGAAGTAAGTTGTTAAAGATTGCTGCTAACTATAGAGTATTTACGTGTAAAGTTCTGTTTTATCTTCTAAAACTCCCACCTCTTATCTGATGCTTTTTGTGTGGACTTCTATTTCGTGGTTTCTTGTGGAACATTAAAGTTATAAAGCCCCGACTATCATTCTACTACTTTCCACCATTTTCGACCACTTTCTACTTTCGTCGACTAAGTCATAGTACCATAACTTCCAGCTCAATTTAAGAAAGCGCTTTTAAGTACCCATCTTCGGTTGATAGGTAAAACCATAATCTCCCGCTGAGAATCTCAATCTCTGCTATTTTATTTTATTAGTTAGAAGTTATCAGTACCTTTGGACATTCAGTTCACTGGTTGTGCACCGATGGAAAGTGAATCGCAGACAAGAATATTCATCACGTTCCTTCTTATATCTCTATTTTATTTAGAAGGAAGTAAGATGTCTCTATCAATCGATTTCTTCATTAGGCATTATTTTACCAGTCGATGCTTCCAAACTTGTGGCTGAAGCTACCGGCCCATTTCATTTGCAAATTCACCTACCTACTATCATAATCTACCATTGCACTTCAATATTGATAAATGGTCTCCACTAAATGCAGTTGTTTAGTCTTCTAGGTAAGGAGGCAGAAGATTGGTAACTCGAACAGTACAACGACTTATTTATACCAAATGGCAGGCTTTATGATAGTCATCGTTAACCCTTTAGTTTACTTCGGGCTTCAGACAGGGGAGAGGAACATCAAAGTCACAAAAAGTCGAGAGGGTGGGGGGTGAGCAGAAGAGTAACTCATAGATGTAAAAGAGAGACAGACACAGAGGTAGAGAAAAAGGCTAAGTGAGTACTGTGAAAGTGGTCGAATATGACATGCAGTCGGGTTATTGTAGTTTGAAGTCAGAAATCAGCTGGCGGTTTATAGACTTTTTTGCCGTATAAGTATACCTTTCCCAGGGTGCACCACGTGGAGGTAGGTCTATCGTGTACCCCACAACATCATACATATTTTTTGGAAATGTCGCATTTATCAGCTATCCTGTTTGGCAGCAATATACCACCGATGAGACTGGACTCCAAGAACTGAGCTCTCAGGAGACTAATTCTTTTTTCCTAAAGCAACATGAATTTTGTTTGGGGCTCTGTTACTGTTCGTACTAATGTCCCAGTTTTATATCAAAGAAGCTTAAGAATAGTCTTCTAATCACATTTAATTCCTTTTTCTTGTTCTCAGTGGGAGGACCCCTACTACGAAGCCTTTGGAAAACACTTTGCAGATCTCATTGAACGACATGGTGTCCCAGTGATTGTGCTCAACCTCATGAAACAGGAGGAAAAACGACCCTTCGAAAAGCTACTCACAGTTGGATTTCTCGAAGGCATTAAGCACCTCAATCAGGTGAGTTTTAACAAAAGTTGGAATTCAAATAACAGCCGCACAATTCAAGTATTAACTTAGACCTTTGTAATTCATTGATTTTTTTAAACCAGTAAAAGTTTTCGATTTATTTGAGTATGCTTCGAAGTTGGATTCCGCAGTTTCTCCATTGGAGGATCAGAAGAATTTCAGACCGATTTCTTATGTGGCAGTTGACATGGCTCGTATCAAACGTTCGACAAATTCTCTCGCGTTAGACCACCTTCTGGAGGTTGCCGATGAAAGCATTCATGCAACTGGCATATTCTTTTCTGCTGGACTGAAAGCTGTCTCCGATACGTTTTCCCGCGAGGAATATATTGAACGGACTCGTCAGGTTATGGATATTGATATTTGGTAAGTATTTTTTGAACTACCCCCTAAAACTGACGATCACTTGCGCTACTGTTTTGTCCTTCGAGCACTTATTCTAGTTAAGCCATATATGCTTAATTTCAGCCCACGGCAACATGGCGTCGTTCGCACCAATTGTGTCGATTGCCTCGATCGGACTAATACTGCTCAGTTTGTTTTGGGACATGTATCCATTGCCTATCAACTCCATGCCATCGGTCTACTAGCTGATACCAAACTCACCTTCGATTCGAAAGTTTCCATAGTCCTTCGGGTAGGTTCTGCTGCATTACCTCATTCACTCCTCTTTAAGGACCTATACGGTGAACATGGAGATACATTGGCATTACAGTATGGTGGTAGTGGAGTCGTGCACAATATTGAGACCTACCAGAATCCCAGCACATCTCGAGTTAACTCTCGGGATATCATACAAACCCTTTCTCGGTTAGGTGGACATTTGCTATTACCCTAACTCCTGTTCTCGTACTAGATACTACTCAAATAACTTTATCGACTTTGAGAAACAATTGAGCACGGATCTCTTCCTGCGAATTTTTCGACCAGGAGCGGGGCCACAGGATGGTGAATGGGGTCCCGATCCTCGGATAATTGCAGCCACATCGTCTGTTCGAGCTGGTCTAGCTTTTCTCCTTACCTCTGATCCTGCGTTTGAGGCTCACATGCACTGGTTGCTTGCATGGGCTTCTATTCCACCCTATCGTGAACCGCTGGATGCTTGGTTTTCAAGAAAAGACTTTGAAGATAGACAAAGGGCGATGAGGGGATGGGATAGCTCGATGTCACCGAGGGCTACTGTTTTAGAAGAAGACACCACTGCAGACCACCAGTCGAAAAGCTTCAAATTGATTGAATTGCGAGAGGATGATCCAGGGTAGGTTGTGCTGTTGGTGGGAGTTTTGATTCATTTTCTTATTCATATGAATGTCTGATTTAAGCATCATTAGACGACTTCACCTCGATTTTTGAGGGCCGCTTGTCTTGAGAACAGTCTTAGCTTATTACGCTCTCATCAACCCCGAAAAGCCTGTTGTAACGTGAGAGAATTATTCACTCACAACACAGTTTTCAGATTTGATTTGTGAACACTTTTGGCCATAGAGACTGCCCCAACGATCGGCTATCATGTCATTATCAGAGTAATCAATGGAAATGCACACCTGTTTATTAATGCAATTAACTCAGCATCACTATAATAGTATGCGGATGGTGGGGATAATAGTTCAGGAAAATAATAGGCTTATTGGGTCGTGGAATTTGAGAATTCATCTCACTTCTTAAAGTATTTATCCTACTGCCTTCTCTGAAGGCCCTTAGAAGTGGCTCTCTATAGCCAATGTTAGTATTATGGATGATATTCCAACCATTCTACTTTCGCATAAGTCCTAAAAAACCGCGTTTTACTTATGCCATGTGGCATCTTGACTGATTTTTCCTAGACATGAATGTATGCAAACTTAATCTTTAGTTCACCTTGATATCTACTGACTCAAAAACTCGACAGTCCGAAAGCCGTCTATTTTTTCCTTGAATCTTCGTTGCGAGATTTCTAAAATGGACCTACTCGTGCTAGCACTTCACTTATCGTGGCTTTACGAAGGTGTATTGAAGAGGTTGGCATTAAGTCTATTGTTATCAGATAGCCTTAGGACTATTGGGGAAAGGCCGTAGTATATGACTGGATGTACGAGTATCATTCATAAACTATGTCATTGATTACCTATCATTACGTTAATTACAATATAAGATGGGCATAGAACATGATCCTTCTTGTTCTTTTCAGAGGTGACTGGTACTCCGAACTCTATCGACCTTACGATTGGACTCATTTCTATAATCTCAAGTATCATCAGTTGCCTCCTGTTCTTCCCTCAGTCTCTGAAGGCGACACTTCCCACACCAGACGAGCCAGTGTTAATATCCCACTAGCTACTTCCAGACGTCAATGTCGACCTCACCTTCCCAGTCGCTTCTCTTCGATGGTGTTAGCATCTGTAGATGAGAATGAGGAGAATTCCACCTACCATAGTTCTGTGTCAAGCAACCCTAAGTTATATCGAGACGCTAATGAAGTTGACAATCAGCTTACCACTACTGCCAGCAACCTAGAAAAGGAAGATTCTTGTACAAACTGGTAGGCTTTAAAGCGGTGAATCTGGTATTGTCTCTTGCTGCATTAAAATGTGGGAAATGGCTCCATTAAGTCATCCTTGGTGCAGCGTTGGACGAAGTTGGCCTCGGGTGTTAGTTAAAAAACTACTATTCATAAATTGAGTAATATGAAGGATATTTGAATGCCACTTCAATTTTATTGAATGCAAGTTTACGCTTCATATGAATATTTTATTTGGCTCCATCATTCATTTCTTTAAATCCAGATCGACTCAGAGAATGGCTATCGACATTCGCGATCGAATAACGCTTTAACATCCGATTTATTTTTTTTAAAAAATTCACCCAACCGCACTCATGCGTGACTCACAAAAGGCTGATATCGATACGTTCATGAGTTTTGGTGGTGGCAGGTGAAGGCTATAGACACGTATTGAACATGTTTCGAATGGCAATGGCGCCTTCTGTTACTAGTCTATTTCCAATTGAGCTTATTTTGAAAGGGCACTAAAGGGCCAATATGGTTTGCTCTTGAATAGCGTTATTTTATTATTATTCATGACTTCAAGGAAAGTGGTAATCATCTTTGGCGATGTAAGAGCTTTACTGCTTTTAATCCTCAAAAAATATCTATACATACATAAATTGGAAGATCATTTTGAAATGTGGAAGTAGAAGTAAGAATTGGGGAATTTAAAGAATTCCAATTCATACGAACCCTATTAGTTAGTAAAGTGAGATGGATACTGTGGAAGTGGTCGAATACGGCATACAGTCGGGTCATGGTATTTTGAAGTCAGAAGTCAACTTCTGATTTATAGACTTTTTTGCCGTATGAGCACTACGTGGTGGTAAGTCCATCGCGCATCCCAAAAGGCATATATTATTGGATCCATATCCACTAAGATTTCCTAATTTTCATTTTTCTCACCAACCACCAGGAAATTACAATGCGCCTACTGTGGTTGCAAGATTGTTGAGGTTTCTTAAACAAAGTAGAAAGGGGAACCTAGAATTTGATTGGCAGTCTTTTCATTCAAGAGGACATTGGTGATTATTCTATTTCAGGAGGGGGGGGGGGGGAAATCTTTANGGGGGGGGGGTAATCTTTACATTTTCTTATTTCGGATTCAAATCAATGACAGCTTGTCTTTATTTTAGTGCGATCTCTGTCCCAGAAGTACCTTCTATTCTTACCAGAATCTTCCAACATCGAGCAGAATCTGCCAGTGCAACCTCCAAGTTCTCTAGATCAGAAGCTTCTTTCACGTCCACTGCTGGGGGCTCCATAAATGCTTCAACCCTATTCGGCCAATCTGATAGTTCAAACTCGCCTCTCCTTGTCAGATTCTCGCAAATTCGTTTAAGCGACTTGGCCAATAGGTTTGAGATTAAGGGGAAGGAAGAACCATCTCGAAGTCAAGAGTCCCTTTCTGATGATTTTAAGGAGGACAAAGAGACTGTGCCAAGTCATGGATCTCGGAAAAGTCCATCTCCTTGTGGTCTTATAAGATATGAATTGTCGTCACCCAATGCCCCTGTTAAATTCAGAAAGCCGTCTAGATGCGATATGGAGAAGTATAAAAGTAGGAAACACTTCCCTTCCAGTTCCTATATCGATGTGGAGAGTTCTAAAATATGTGCCGCTTTATTATTTCAGAATATGCGTCTATTCCAGTGATCAGTGCGTATACTCCTCTTTCAGAGATTCTGACTGTGGATCCATCATCAATGGAGATTTATAAGGTATTACTACTGAATAAAATAAGTAGAATAAATGCTGCAATTGAATGACCAATTTTCTTGTTGTTTTCAGGATACAATTAAACTATCGCAGATGGGAGCCTTCTCAATTCCGAGTGAATCCCTTCAGGTATACCAGAAAATAGCGGATGTGAAAAGTCTCTACGCATGATAACTTATTTATTGGAATGGAGTCTCCACTTTTACAATTGATACTTGTTTGCTAATAACCTTCCTGAGGATTTTCGGTGCATATTATCTGAATCCGTCCGTGGGATGAAATGAAGTAACAAATGAGAAAAAAGTATATCTTAACTGAATTTTGGCAGGGTAACTCGAAAAACCTGTCGAAACAGTCAGCCCCAGATCAAAGAGAGGTTAACCCAGTGAGGAATGGTCATTTTTTACTTAGTTTTGAATAAATGTAAGATTTCCAGATGCATAAAAATTCAAGAAATCTGAGAGTTGGAAAAATCTATTCGAATGAATATTTGTGTGGAATAAATACAAAAGTTCTTCCTCACATTAATAGAAAGATCTGCTGGGGAATTCAAGGTCACGCTTATAAAGGAGGTCCCGAGCGGTTAAGGAAACTGCAGTTTAATATTTGTTCAGAAATTCATGTTACATTAATCGTCCCGCAGTTATTTATTCATTCGTTTATCAACCTACCAAATTAACATTTAGCATATTACACCCATCTTATTACAGAGGGAAATTGAAATGGCTTAAATAGATTCTCAGGAGATTTATTTCCAACTGGAACAAGTTATGAGTGTCACTTGAGGTGACATGGGACAAATACTGAAGGAAAACGACGTTCGTATAAAGCTTAAATGGAGCAAAAGCCGTAAAGTATAGCTAGCAATAAACTGTAACTCAATCATAAATGACCCAATAATTGTACTATTAGGATTTAAATCGAGCTTATTGCTTCTGTCAGAAGAGCAACCCGTAAATAAATTAAAAAATCATATGAGGGCTTTCTAAGAAATCGATAAGTTGATACATTCAAGAATGGGTGTTTTAAAAAACATTACATCTCTACGGAAACTCTGTACAGACTAAGAAAGGAGAAATCACTACGCTCCAAGTATGTCCTTAATGCGATCCCAGGAGGTAAAAGCCGCAGCGCCAAGACCTAAGGTTAATCCGATGGCACCTCCCTTAAGACACCTTTGCCATCCTCTAGAGCCGAACAAACCTAACGAGAAATATGTCCGTCAGGAAGATTTTTGATGAAATATAACTAATAATAATAACTAATAAATGTTAAACTTGCCTGGAGAACGATAGATAAGACCAGTAACGGTGGCGGAAGAGACCATATTAATCTCGTCATCGGCACCACCGCGAATTTTGTGAATAGCAAAGTCCGAGAGAGCATATAGGAGGCCGATGCTACCACAAGTTTGAGCCCAAGAGGCTCCCGATTTTGTCACGTGGTTTAGCATTTGTGTACGTTGAATAGCCTTAGTGGGAAGTTTGGCGAGCTCAGGATCCTTTAGCGCAGTATAAAGGGCTCTCGTACCCCCAAATGCACAACCTAGAGGAATTAAACAATTATTTTGCTGTCGTACCGCCAATGACCATAGAACCAATTTCGGAAAATGATCGTTCAAAACGGCCACGATGCTTGTCTCCTTCGGGAAATATGAACTCATCATTTGGATCCTATGTGCATATACATAATAATAAAAAATTATGAACGTACAGTTACTAAAAGTGATGGATTAATGTTCAGAAATGGTGATACAAATATGTTATCATCTGTCATGATCCAATTGTGCAGATGGGTTAAGTGAGCAGGCTCGGCTTAATTTTTCCACAGAAATATCTCTAACATAATTTTTAGAGAAACTCAATTCACATTTAAGCCCTAATATTCTATGATAATTTTTTTATTTGAAAAAATCTGATTTTAAATGATAATAATTTTCTTTCATTTGGTATTAATGTTTTGTCTAAGTTGGTATGCTTTTTAATGTCATCTTAAATTGTCCGTCGGTGGCGAAATAGCAAAATATTTATGGAACTATCAAATAGGCGATGACTTATAAAAAAACTCAAGTATTAAGTATGCCATTTAATCATTTACATTTGGAATATATATATATATATTAAATATATTTTGATTCCTATTTCGACTTGAACTTTATGTTATACATGCATATATATTTATATTTATATATTTAAAGGACATACATACATTTATCTTCTTCGTGATTTATACGTTTATAATTTAACTAATTTCGATATCTAAACAGTAAATATACGTCTTACCGGTGAAAACTATCTCACCTGTAGGTCTAATGGAAAAATAATCAATATTATTTCTACTTAACCATATGCTATTTTGGACGATTTGAAAAGTCCAGTCGATTTTCATATGCTTCATTACAAATGAAGTCAATACCTATTTCATTATTCAACATTTAGTTGTGGGGTGTGCGATAGACTTACTTCCACGTGGTGCACCCTGGGCAACGTATACTCATACGGCAAAAATGTCTATTATCCGGCAGTTGACTTCTGACTTCAAACTACAATAACTTCACTGGATTCCATATTCTACCCTTTCCACAGAAATCATCCTACCTTTTCTCTGTCTTTGTGTCTGTCTCTTTTACCACTCTTCTGTTCCCCATCCCTCGACTTCCTGTTACTTTGATGTTCCTTCCGTCTGCGAAGCCCGAAGCCAGCTAAAGGGCTAATGATAAATATCAAAACACCTGCCATTTGAAATAAATAAATAAATAACATTTAGTTGTACATTAAAATGCGCTGATAAATGTAGCAATATTTTCACAAACAAGAAGTTTATCAAGCTTAACAAGGATTGTTCCGGATCTTTTGCTCAAAAAGCACGCAGCACGGTAGTTGTTTCTGAAGAGTGCTTCAAGAAGATGGGATAGTTTAATAACTACCTTAACTTGTGTATTGGACCTAGAAAGATTCTTATATTTACCGAATAAACTGAGTTAATTGAAAAATACACTTATTTGGTCAGAACAGTGAAACAATTAACGTTACACTTGTTCAAAGTTGCAAATCATGCCAGAATGATCTTCAAGTAATTGCACCATTCCACGCATACTTATATTTAAGCTTATGTTTTTTTTTATGTCAATATGGATCAATATTCTTGTATCAAACTAGCGTCTAATGTCTACGTCATATATTCGAGAAAATTTATATCTAGAAAAGGGTAGGAAGCAGTATTGCTTTCAGTAATTGTGCCATTTATTTTCATACTTTATTAATATATGAATTTTATAATAAAGATGACAAATTTCGTCCACTTTTACAGAGTTCGTATATAATTCAATCTCATTTTACTAATCGTTAATGTTCAATTCAGCGGAATTCTGATTAACAAGTTACTTCGTTTAATATAAATGAACGATTCTTCATTATGGAAAGTACCTGGTTGATTGCTCGTAGCATTTGCTCGCTCCAATGTCGGCTTTTAAATGGAATGGGAATACGCTTTAAAACAGTTTTCAATTTCTAGTACATTTACTTACCCCGATATAGGAACTTTCATGGCAAGTGTTTAGAACCAATAAGAAAATATTCATCCTTGATATATTTCACCTATTTCAAAATTTATCATTGTGATGCAACAGAATTGATCCAACGTCTATCTTTGTTATGCAAATGAATCAAAATATATTCATCTATTAGGGACTAAGGGTGATGTCAATCTTCTTGAATTTTTTATTCCTATTCACTAAAAGTTCATCAATGATACTTTTATTTTCGCCACCATTCAAGAACTATACTTTAAAAATAGAAATGACGTCAAATTTGTCGACAATTCTTCAGATAATTTATTTATGTTTAAGGAGTTTTCTCACCAGGAACCATAATGAATTCTCGAATAGTTGTTTGAGAATATAGTAGCACTTCACACAGAAAAACTCGGTCTTAAATAAGATTACCTTGCTAGGAATCCAGTCTGCAATACACGTCATCTCGGAATGAATTAAATTCTCCAACATCTTATTTCATGTAGTTTAGTAGCATCAATTAATAGGCAAGCTTGTTAATTAAACGAATACCATATATTCGAATTTGGGATTTAGAAGTATTGGGAATGGTCCAATTTAAATCTTGGATACACAATCTACTTTTAGAAATC